CCCCCCCCAGCTGCAACAACAACAACAACAAATATGGTTCTGGGGTTTGAACTCAGAGTCTTGCTTGCTAGGCAGCTGAGTCTCTGGTCTTTCTTTCTTTATTCATTTATTTACTTAAAGCCCACTGGTTATTTTGAGATGGGGTCTTGCTTCCTGCTTGGGTGCACGCCTGGCTTGAGATCCCATTTTCACCAGCTGCGATAGCATGAATCACTGAGTTTGGAATGTGAACTATCCTTAGGAATCGGCCCTCTGCAAGAGCCTCCTATCACAGGTGTGGAGAGAGGCTTTGTGGCTGTCTGCCAGCTGTGGCCTCTAGGTTCTGAGTCATACCTGTGAAGCAGTGAAGGGTAGTTTTTTTGTGCAGGTCTGAGGGAGAGTAAAACTTGCTATACTGTTTTGGACAGAAGGACAGACAATTGCTTTAGGAATTATTCACTGAGTGGAAGCAGTTATGGGGGCCCCATCATGGGAGCAGAGCTGAATCACTGGAGTAGACTTTGGGGGACTATTGTCCCTTGTCTGACTGGCTTATACTACCATCTGTGAAATATACACACTCTATCCCTGTCTGCTTCTCCCCCTGATTCAGGGAGTTTGGGGTAGAGGCTGGACATCTTTATTTTGCAACAATTTTCCAAGTGGTTCTGACTAGGGTTTGGACTTTAGTGGGCTCACTATCGACATTTACAAAGTTAGAAGAGGTAAGTGGATTTCCCAGGGTCACACCCTTGATAGGTGAGGAAACACAGGAAATGGGTTTTTCAGGGCACAGAGCCAGTCAAACAGAAAGGTTCAACATCACCGCTTCTCTGTTGCTGTGACTCCTTGCAAAAGCAGCTGGAGAGCAGTTCCTTGAAGCCTGCAGGCAGGGAGGGCCCTTGCGGCACCTGCGGCTGGGCGATGGACACTACAGGGTGACAAAGCTGCCTCTCTGAGCATCTGCAGCCCTGAAGACACTGCTGGTGAATGTGGGGACATTCTCTTTGCCATCAGAAAGCAGAAAGTGGGGGAAGGCAACTGACTCTCCTGTGTTTTGGTGCATTGCCCCGAGTTTCCGTGGTGTAATAACCAAACGAATGCCGCAGAGCTGGGTGGGAAGGCTCCGGGATTCAGCACTTGCTCTGAGGCCGAAACAAACACAAACGCTGCCAGGATTTTGATACGGACTGCCACATTTGTCCAACCCTAGAAGCCACTCTAAGAAATAGAATCTGCTAGAACCAATCTGGGGTTTTGGATAACTAGGGCACATGGTTGCTAGACTGCACTCTAGCCATAGACCCTGGCAGTGATCACAGGTGTATATGGAACCATGTGGCCAATGGTACTCACTACACACTGGGCATCTTCCAGAGTTAATCCCATCTCTCCAGGTGGGTAGTAGTATCTAAGTTTTTTTTTTTTTTGGTCCGGTCATGGGGCCTGAACTCTGGGCCTGGGTGCTGTCCTTCAGCTCTTCAGTTCAAGGCCAGCGCTCTACCACTTGAGCCACAGCGCCACTTCCGGCTTTTTTTGCTTATGTGGTGCTGAGGAATCGAACCCAGGGCTTCATGCATGCAAGGCAAGCACTCTACCACTGAGCCACCTTCCCAGCCCCGTAGTATCTAAGGTTTATGATTTAGGAAACTAAGACAGAGCTAATCAGGGGGTTGACAAATCATGGAAATAGAAGAGGAACAGCCAAGATGCCAATCCAGGCATGGTTGATAGCAAAATGGAAAAGCAGAGAGGAGATAGGCCTCCTGGCAGGCGTGGATTCTACCTAACAGCTATGGTGTCTCCAGATAACCTGTTTATCCAAGACCCAGGCTGCATGGAGCCTACTGTGGATGTTCCCAGGTGCACCAACCGAGTTCTGCCAGTACAGTCAGCAAACAAAATCTACTGAATTGAGAAAGAAAGTAATGTAGGAAGCCGGGCGCTGGTGGCTCACGCCTGTAATCCTAGCTACTCAGGAGGCTGAGATCTGAGGATCGCGGTTCAAAGCCAGCCTGGGCAGGAGAGACCGTGAGACTCTTATCTCCAATAAACCACCAGAAAACCGGAAGTGGCGCTGTAGCTCAAGTGGTAGAGCGCTCGCATTGAGCTGAAGAGCTGAGGGACAGCGCTCAGGCCCAGAGTTCAAGCCCCATGACCGACCAAAAAAAAAAAAAAAAAAAGAAAGTAATGTAGGAGGCTTGCCTTCATGCCTGGGAATCTACAGCTTCAATTCTTTGCACACGTACCTTTATCAAAACGAGAACAAGTGGTTCAGGAAATAACATGTGTGGAACAACAATAAAAAAAATCGTATTCGGTGAAATTATTTTTCACTTGATTTTCTATGGGAAAATTAAAGATACAATTTTGATTGACCCTGTGAAGGATACAATGTGTCAGCCCCCCCCCCCCCCCCAGTTTTTTGTATTTCATCAATGGTTCTTTCAGGAGCTTTAATGTCTTTTGAAAGTCTAGAAGAAACAAAGTGTCCTTTTTCTCTAATTTAGAAGCATGTAGTTCTGTTGGTAATAACACAAAGCTTTCTTGAAATAATGAATGGACACAGTTGAGACGGTGGGCCTGACTTCCCTCGCAGGCATCTCCAATAGAAACAAACGAATGCAGAGCCCGACCGCGGTTGCCCGGGTAACGGGGGCGGGCCTCTTCCTTGGCGGCGGCCTCGCAAGCGCGGCGAGCACGCTCGAGGAAGTTTGGCTCGTTGACCGCTCCGTAGACGCGGTGCATGCTGGGTCTCGGCAATATGGCGTCCTCCTTGACGTGCTGATGAGAGGAGTTTCACCGTCGCTCCCAACCCGAGGGCAAAACTCGCCGCCGCGCCCGAGCGCACGTTGCCGGCGTTCTCCGCGGGCCG